TGTCCCGGCCAGGGGAGTCGATGGGAGCGTTTGGGTCGGGGATGCCCTGAGTGTCTTCGAGAGTGCTGGGGTCGATTTGAAAACCCCCATTGATGGACCATTGTTGCATGCTCCCATGGGCGATCCAGGTGTCTTCATGGAGAGGGGTTTGAAGGCTTCAGAGGTTTCTTCACTGGTTCGGAAGTTCGTGTGTTGCCCTGAACCGTCAGATGCAGCCCCAGGCAATTCGGTGTCTAGCCACAGCCTCAAGGCCACTATACCTTGTCTTGGTGTGCGAGATTCGGACTAAGCCCGGCCGTCAGATCCCTGTTGGGCAGGCATGCATCGAGCCTAAATGAAACATTTGCGATTTATTCCAGGGACCTTGTTTGTGCACCGGTGGCGGAACTCCAGTTGGTTATCGATGCAATTGCAGATGGAAACTTCTCACCGGACTCACAACGCTCTGAATTTTTCAGAAAAAGTCATGACAGTGTTGCCCATGAAGGTGAGCCTGGCGATCATGCTGAAGTGCCGGGGGATGACTTGGGGCCGTGCCAGACTGAGCTCGAAAGCAATATCAGCGAGTTGTTGGAATGCTCAGGTGGCGGTGTTGGAGTGGAGGAAGGCGACCAGACAGTTGACCTACCCCACCATGAGGCTGGTGTGGCCAGCCCTCCATCTGAGCCAAAGGGTGAGGCTTCGGATGACAGCTCCTCATCGACGGACTCCGATGGTGCCCTTTCCTCAGCCGAATCCGTTGAGCCTGAACCGGCTTCGAGGGTCAAAAGGTTCAGAGCCAAAATTCCTGAATGTCAGCTGTGGTTTGTTCACTCCAAGTCTCATTTGGTGCATCGACATGATGGGGACGTTCATGATGGTGTGATGTTCACTGTTTGTGGGAGGCGTTTGTCGAGCGCCTATGCCCCTTGTACCGAAGCCACGGCCTGGAATATTTTGTGTAAATCATGCAACCGGAAATAAGCACCAATGGAGTGCCAAGTACAACAGTCGGCGATGATGCCTGGAAAAGAATGGCCGCCTTGCGTGGAAGTGGTCAAACATGCTTGAAATGAACAGTTGTGCCTGAAGGCCATGTAGCCTATGTCCGGGGGATGATCCCCGTTATCACTGCGTCAGCATACCGCTGTCCTGTTGGTTCAAGAATTTATGCATGTTCAAAAAAAATTCGATGTTTGCAGCGCCCACTAGGCACCATAACGTTGAGCGCCCAGTTTCCACAGCCTCAGACCCATTTTTCATCGAGTTATGCGCCGGGTCTGCACGTGTCACCACCTGCCTGCAGTTCTTTGGTTTAAAATCATCTTTTGGGGTTGATCACAAACGACAAAAGAGTTCCGGAAGACTGCTCACAGCCGATCTTACGACAGCCGAAGGGCAAGCCGTATGCGAACAATGGCTGGCATCACCAAATTGCGTAGGCATCTTCGCCGCACCGCCATGTGGAACTTGCAGCCGTGCTAGAGGCATCCCAATCCAGTTGCCATGCGGTAAATGGATCCCTGGCCCAAAGCCCTTGCGTACGGAAGAACTTCCTGATGGTGTTGAACACATGACTCCAATTGAACGCACTAGAGTTGAATCAGCGAACACATTGTATGCATTCGTCACAAAGATCTGCTTGATGTGCCTATCAGCAAATAAGGTTGTGTGTATTGAAAACCCTCGGTCCTCCCTCTACTGGAGGACATCATTCTTCGCACCCCTGAAGGGGAAACTGACCTACACAGTGCATCAGGCCTGCGCCTACGGGTCCGATCGGCCAAAATGGACCCTGCTGGCACATAACACTAAAACCTTGCATAAACTTAATAACCTCTGCCCAGGATTAGGCCCCCATCATAAGCATAAACCCTGGGGTTTAACTAAGGACGGCTCTTCTTTTTCCACTGCTGAAGAGACCGCATACCCCATGAAGCTGGCTTTCCATATCGCCTATTTCCTGGCACAGCAAATCGTTTTGCAAGGTTGGAAACCCCCTGCCGGTGAACTTGCTTTGCCCGATGAGGTGTCATATCAATACCTCCGATCCATTACCGGAGTGCAGCCGAAATCTAGCAAGCTTCCTCCTTTGGTTTCTGAATTTGAGAATTTCATCCACCTTGATGTCCCTCCTTCATGCATTCCCCCAGTTTTGCCTGGTGAAAAGCTTCTCACCCCTTGGATGGACATCCCTGCCGGAGCTTGCCTGTTGAAAAAGCCACCACGGTTAACGGGGGGTATCGCTGGTAGATGTGCCGAAAAATTACCAGATGAAAATGCATCGAGCGAAGACTCACGCAGTAAATTTCTCACATTTGGCATTTTTAGGTCTTGCGAAAGTTTTGCCCTCAAAGCGGTTGAAGTGGGTCATCCGATTGGGAAGGAAGCCAGGCTCCCGACAGCTCTTTGTGAGGCAGTGCAATTTTTGGAGTCGCACTCAGAGCGACGTATTGCTGAGTTGAGGCTGGGCGAACTAAAGCGTTGGTTGGGACGTGCAAAGGAACTCTCGGCCGAGGAATCAAAGTTGCACTCAACGCTGCCTGACCCAGTGAAAGGTATCCTTGCCCCAAAGCGCCTCCTGCTATGGAAGGAAATGATGACCCACTATGGATATCCTGATTGTTGTGTCTTTGATGATTAACAGGGTTTGAACTGTCTGGTACAGCTGAGTACGTGCCTTGCTTCGAGCCTTGCTTCAAACCTGCGAAGATCACGGAATCTGAATTGGAGGCAACCGCCTTGGCTGGCCGAAAAGCCCTCCTTGCCTCAATCAGGTCTTCGGGGGATGACTACATCGATAGCGAAGTTTTTGCAAAGACCCAGGCCGAGGTGGAGTGCGGCTGGTTGGAGGGCCCGTTTGACCCATCAGACCTTCCAGCTAATGCTGTGGTTAGCCGCCGCTTCGGGATAAAGCAAGGCTCTGGAGAAAAACTGAAAGTTAGATTGATCGATGATTTCTTTGCCTCTGGGGTGAATTCCACGGTCCAGGTTGATAGCAATGCAAAGCTCCACACCCTTGACGTGGTTGCAGCCCTCTGCATGGAACTCCTCAGAGCGACGCCAAATGCCGAATGGGTTGGAAAGACCGTGGACCTCTCTGCCGCGTGCAGGCAACTTGCATTGTCGCCAAAGTCGCGCTGGGTGTCGTTTGTGGCCGTTTTTGACCCAGTCAGCAAAAGCCCAAAGATCTACTCCATGAGAGCCCTGCCCTTCGGGGCATCACGTTCGGTGTATGGCTTCCTACGTGTGGCGCATTCGCTCTGGTGGTTGGGGTGCAAAATGCTGAAACTTGCTTGGTCAAATTTTTTCGACGACTTTGTCACCCTGGCCCGGGTCAGCGAGTCCAAGTCTGTTTCCATAGCGGTGGACCAGTTTTTCAAACTCCTTGGCTGGGCGGTTTCTTCAGGCGACAAAGACCTTCCCTTCGCTAGCAGATTTAAAGCTCTGGGAGTCGAAGTGGACCTCTCCTCCTGGAAGAATGGCCTTGTGCGTTTCTCGAACACTGAGCAAAGAGCGACAGAGCTGTCCGAGAAGATATCCGAGATCTTGCATGCTGGAAAGTTGTCTGTGCCCGAAGCGCTCTCTCTTAGGGGACGCATGCAGTTCGCGAACGCCCAGCTTTGGGGCCGAGCATCAAAGCTGTGCCTGAACGCTGTGACAGCGCACGCATACTCGGGAGAAGGCCCTGGGATTTCCCAAGACTTGGTGCATTACCTGAATGTTTTCAAGATCTGCCTGGCCTCCGCTAAGCCCCGTGAAGTGACTTCCTCTTGGTCTAGCCCTATGTTCCTTTTCACTGATGCCAGCTTCAGTCCGGAAAATTCAGATTGGCCTTGCGGACTTGGTGGAGTCCTTGTAGATCAAGAAGGCCGTCAGGTATCAGCCTTTTCTTGTGCCCTCGATTTTGAAGCTCTCGGAGTGTTGGGATACCCACAGAAATCCACGGTCATTTTTGAGGCAGAGCTGCTATAGCTTTGTTGGTGGGTCTCATGATTTGGAAAAAGAAGCTGCGTCACAAGCCTTGTGTTTGCTATGTTGACAACAATGCCACGCGTGATGTCTCGATAGCAGGGAAAGCTAGAACCCAGCCCGGCCTGGCGCTGGTTACGGAGCTCTTACAGTTGGAAGACGAGGTGGGACTTAATTCCTGGTATGCCCGTGTCCCGTCCGCCAGTAACATTGCTGATGGCCCATCACGTAAGGACACTAGTTCCTTAACTGTAAAGCCAGTCCCTAAAGACCTAGCCCTTTTGGTTGTGAAAAAGCTCCTAAAGAAAATTGAAACATGCGGTTAAGATGGGGAGATGATGTGGCGATGATGCCATTGGTTTTTTCTCTGTGACTTGTGGGGGCGCTGAAGCCCATTGCTGGAGCAGGCCGATGTAGGCCGTATGCGATGTTTGCCCACTTTTGGATGCCAGTGGGTTACACAGCCTTCACAGTCCACAAGCACCATGCAGCATGATCGCTGCGACCAGAGACTCCCCATTTTGCGAGAGAAAAAGAGCTGTGCTTTCGACATCAGAGGTTCACTGATCATGTGTCCAGCCATGTGCGTTTATTTTATTTTGGGCGTTTTATTTTCTGTTTACGTTTACCGTATCTCGGAGGTGTTGTCTTCTTGGCGGCTAGGAACTAAAGTTAAGCATGCGGTCAACAACGTTGATAGCGCATTAAATTTCGTTACGGGTTTTTTTTTCAACAAAAAAATTTCAGCCAAGAAGACTTCACCCTGCATGGCCCACTCAACATGTTAACGAAAAACACTGGCCGCCAAAAACAAAACTTGACGTTGCAAATTTCCAGAAAGCCTGAATGCATGTTGCTCATTTCAGTTTCGTTTTCAGTGCTGTGATAAAAGAACAAGAACTGAAGCCACCACACTTTTCGCATCGATGTCGTGTAAAGTTTGTATCACTGAGCCTGGTTGCATGATTTCATTTTGCCTCGAAGTTTTGTTTCAAGCAGGGAATTGTTTTGTCCCACCCAAGTGAACTTTCCCGCCCTTATTCCGGCAGTTGTCCTGCCTTGTTACATGTCACCTGAACAGATCGTCACGGTGACCGCCGCCATCTCGATCTTGATGGCGTTCTTACAGCCGGTTCATCCGAGCCTTACCAGAGCTCAGACCCTTCAAGAGCAGCGCATCAGCTCCCTGGACAAGGTCATCACCGGCACAAAGGCCATCTTACAGGCCTGCGGGCACCCCCAGTACCTGGACTCACTCCATGATCTTTGGCATCAAGCCAGCCAGGCATTGTTCCTTCTGGAACATATGTTGTGGCCAAACCAGCCACCAGAGACTCCGCTGCACCTCGTGTTGCCTCGCGAGAGTCGGCCATTGAGTGATTTGATGCTGGATTCCTTCGATGAATTTCATGATGCTGTCCTCAACGCAATTCCTGAGGTACAACAGCTCCAAGAATGGTTTGCACAACAATATGATGTTGGCGTGCACAATGCTTTCAACAACATGCTTACAGATTCCCTCTTGTTGTTCAGAACCGCTGAGGCCCTCATCCGCGTGAAGTTGCGCTTTCGCAACATGCCCCAGAACCTGAATACCAACCCGACCGCCTTGGACGAGGATCCTCAGCCGGCAAACCCTTCGACTCCGTCGACTGTGCCGAATCCAGCTGCATCATCTTCCACCGGCGCTACCTTGGAGCACTATTGAACCCTAGCCGGGGAGATGATGTGGCGATGATGCCATTGGTTTTTTCTCTGTGACTTGTGGGGGCGCTGAAGCCCATTGCTGGAGCAGGCCGATGTAGGCCGTATGCGATGTTTGCCCACTTTTGGATGCCAGTGGGTTACACAGCCTTCACAGTCCACAAGCACCATGCAGCATGATCGCTGCGACCAGAGACTCCCCATTTTGCGAGAGAAAAAGAGCTGTGCTTTCGACATCAGAGGTTCACTGATCATGTGTCCAGCCATGTGCGTTTATTTTATTTTGGGCGTTTTATTTTCTGTTTACGTTTACCGTATCTCGGAGGTGTTGTCTTCTTGGCGGCTAGGAACTAAAGTTAAAAAACGAACCCAAAAACTAGCCTCTTTTCTTGTCTTGATCATGACTTTCCCTTTCTAGATGCAAGCCTGCAATCGAGGCGCTTCGAGGCTCGGCGCACGCTGCACTACGGCGCAGGGGTGGGCGCGCAATTCCGACACCATGTCATCAGGATACTATTAGCGGGCGGGAGGACCACCAAAGTCGAACACAGTGCTATCGGAATATTATTAGCGGGCGGGAGGAGGCAGGAGGACCGTCGAGGTCAGCACGCATGCCAGAATACTTTTAGCTGGCGGGAGAACCGTGGGCCACCCTGTTTGGGAGTTGCAAAGTTATTAGCTGACGGGAGAAGAGGGTTTATCTACTCCCGAAGCGCTGTGCACCCGTGCTGTCTCAAACGGGGTGTCTCCCTGCACCCACCATCCAATACTCACAACTCAATCATCTAGAGCCACAGATGAGACATCCCAAGCAATCTGTTAGCCCTAGCTGCGCGACAAGCGCCATGGGGGAAACAATGAATTTCCTCTTTTCTGGAAACATTAGGTTCCAAAACCAAGGCCGCAAACAGGCAGTTTGCAGTGACGCGCAGTACTGCCCGAATGCGATTGATTTTCCTATGCGTGAAACTGCATTGTATATCTTCTGCAAGGGGAATCATGTCTTGACTGTGTTTCGCCTGCAGACGTACACATGCTCTTTGTTTGAGCAAATTCGTCGGCCTAACTTTCCGTTCCTTCTTGGTCTGAAGTTCTTGGTTTGCTGGAGACAGTTGAATAAGATTGCTGAGCAGACCACTGATTGAAGATCATATCTACACGAACCTTGTCTGTGTCTTCCGACAAAGTTGGCGCCCCGGAATATTTTTAGGTACCGTTTTGGCGCCCATGAATTAAAGACAAAATCATGGGGCCCCAAAGCAGGGCCCAAAAATGGAACCAAAACAGGTTTCAAAATTGGACCCAAATTATGGAAATTTGACACCCTGTGGGAGCACCCTTGGGTAAGGGTGAAGCGACATGCCACTCATCATCGTGGAAGTTCTATGCACAGAAGATTGGTAGAGAACATTCTACTTGTTGCGGGAAGAGTCTGTGTATTTGACCTGGAGGTTGGTCACAATATTCTATTAGTCTTTGGACTCATCATTCTGTGACATCCTGAGATGTCATTGATCAGTGTTGACCTGAATGTGGTGTATTGTTCAGTTCTACATCTTATTCTGGATTCGACTTGAGTCTGGTACAGCTTATTGCTTGAGCTGAAGATAACTACATTGGCTTGACATTGAGTTTGTTTATTGTGTCTTCGACACTGAGAAGTGTATTCTCTCCAAATGATGAGAACACAGCTGAAACTCTTGGAGAAGAGTTTAAGCTAGCTGGAAGTATCTGATGGGGAGAAGCTACTACACTTTGAGTTTGAACTATGAGATGCATTGGCATTGTGAGGACAATGGCCATATTTATTCGTCTTATTTGTCCAAGAGTTCTGTGATGAGATGTTTCGGTATTGTGAGGACAATACCTACATCATCGTCATCGTGACCTAGGATCATACACTTGATCTTATGGTGTGCATTTTATCGTTCCTGAGAAGACTTTGGTTATCTCTATGAGGACGACATTGTTTTGAGACGACTTTGGTCTACATTGCGGATTGGCTATTACAGTGGTCGAAAGACTTCAGCGATACAACTGTATTTGGCTGACCTACATTGACAATGTCGAACAGAACATTCTATTCTACATTGAAGTTTGAAGCTGTGAGATGCTATCTCTATGTGGAAAGCTGATTTGAAGAAGGAACGTTGTGTTCTGACTATGTTTTGTATTCAGAAGAAGGTTGTACAGATACCTTGTGTGAATCACTTCGTTCTTGAGAAGTTAGCCAGCAAGCTGACTAATGGGCTGGTTATTCACGTTTGGATGAGAACCAGTTTGGTTTGAGAACTTTTGGAAGTGTTTCGATGTTTTTTGAATTCACCTAATGAAAAGTGAGTTTTGTAGACTTGTAGCAGCTGGAATAGTTCCAACAAGCCTTTATTTGAAGAACTTGAGGTTTGTTAACTGGAAACCTGGAATCGAGTTTACCAGTTGAGACATCGGCTCGAAGGACTGGTGTCAGAAGTTCATTTAATGAACAAGAGCTGCTGTGTCACATAACTTGACATAAGACAGACCAACACATGGGAACACTGTATCTTCCTTCGGTGTTTTTTGTTTGTTTGTTGTGTTTTTGTTTCCCTGTGACTGATCGTGTTGCGTCGGGAGCGAAAAGAAGGAACTTGACGTCAGCATGTGGGAGTCGAGGGTGAAACAGTCTTTTTGACATCACAGTGCTTTAGTTTAATTAGGTTTGTAACTACACGCGCTGCGCTTGTTTGGTGTGCGTGGTTGACGTACGCGTCTGCCTGCGTAGTTCTGTAGGAATTTTGATGAAGCGTTGGATCTGACCGCAGATCTGTGCACGGCGCTTTTTCAAATGGTAGCGGAGCTCTACGGAGCTACCCACACCATTCTCCGCTGACCCTTGTTGCAGTGTACTAAGGACACCATCTAAGGTGAAGCTGGAATCGTTTGTATTGAGCTCCCGGATCTTCTGCAGGGATATGTGTTGAGCTTGTACTAAGGATTTGCAGTCGACACTAGGTTGGTACATTACTGATGTAAAGTCAAGGGCATCGAAGAGCTTGAGTAATCTGGATTTAGGTGATGTGCTTGTGTTTCACTCCATTTTTGTGGCATGTTGACTGTAAGGTCATTTGAGAGATGTGACTTGTCAATTGATTGCCTGAAACGACATGTTTTGAAATGCTTGGAGTATCTCGACAGGCTGAAGTTGGCAGTAAGTCCTGGAGACACAAGTGAGGTGTTTGGACAAGTGAAAACTCCGACAACTTGCCTGGAGATGAGCATGGAGAATATCTCGACAGGCTGAGGTTGGGAGCGAGTCCTGGAGACACAAGTGAGGTGTTTGGACAAGTGAAGACTCCGACAACTTGCCTGGAGATAAGCAAAGAGAAATAGGTAAGATTGGTAGGTTGAAGTTGGGAGTATGTCCTGGAGACACAAGCGAGGTGTTTGGACAATAAAGACTCCGACAACTGGCCTAGAAGTCCTTGAATGTAAAATTTGAGAAACCACTGGATTTGGTTGGAACCGAAGCGTTTAAGCTCAAGAGAAGTATCGCCATACGATCTGCACTAAGAATGGACAATCGCACCAACACCCGACCATTACGTGAAGCAGTGGAAGACGAGATCATTGTCTGGATTATCGGTTTAGAGAGGGTGACAAGTGTCTTGAGACTGGTACAGACTCTGATCGTTCTCTTGGAATGGCTTTTGCCGTTGCTTGAAGATGTTCGTCTGAGTGCGAACCAACGAGACATCATAACGATGTTCCGAGACCATCTCAGAGATTTGGAAGCCGAAATGCAGAGGCAGGCTTGTGAGATGCGTGAGCATATCTTAGGCAGATACCCCAGGGCACTGCAAGGTTGAAATACCTGTGGCCCAATGTTGCATGATAAATGTGGTAGATATAGGCGATGGAGTTCCTGACAGTAGTGGTAAGCGTGAGAAAAATAGGTGGCAACGACTGAGCTGCAATACACTGAGTTGCGTTGCATGTGAGATTTGCATTTGGTTGTGTGAGAAGTTTGGTGACTTTGGCGACGAGAGCCTGGAGAGTCACTGGAAAGCTTGGTGATTTTGGCAGAGAGAGAGAGAGAGTGCCTGGAGAATCACTAGAGAGCATTGAGAAGAACTAGAGAGAGAAATGGGCTGGATGGCAGAAGCGCTGCATAGGTCCATACCAGAAAAGTATTATGAGAAAGAGTTACATCTCGACAGGTTGGTCAGGTTGTAGTTGATCCTGGACGCACGGAGTGCACAGTGCGTGGTGCTACTGAGCCTGGCGTCATGCCTGGAGGTGGTAGTACGAAAAATAAACTGTGGCATGAGGACCTGGAGGGTCGAGTTTGCTTTGTCAGTGACCTTGGTTTATTTGCCACATGTGTGAGATGAGACGTGAGTAGTTGAACACCTGAGGTTCGGTAGTGTGCAGGAACAGTGGGGCTTGACGGACATTGAAGCCTGAAGCATTTGTGGTTTGACTGGCAGTATAGGTACTGGAGTGCTGAGAGAGAGAGAAAGATAGGAACCGTCATACTGAAGGCACAGTGGAACTTGGTGTTGAGATTGTTGGTTGACAACGAACTGTGAGTAGGAATGGCCAGAGTGAACTTTGCTTGTCTGTTTGGGAACGTTGGTTTTGATTTCTCAGATGCATCAGGTAACCACGGATGTCGGTTTGAGCTGCAGTTGTGGAAGTGTTTGAGTTGAGCATGTAGTATTGTAAGTCAATGTAAACGACCTGAACTGTGTGGGAGGTGGAAACTGTTTTGAGCTGAACTTGAAACGAAACAGGAAACTTTGCTGTGAGTTTGTTTTCATGTTTTTCTTTGACCGGAATTTGGACAGTTGTGCAGTGTCACAGGCAGGTCAGGTATGACTTCCGCTACTCGGATTGTTGCAGTTTGTTTTTGTGAGACCTAGAACGGATGTAGTCGTGGAGACTAGGACAGATGCAGAGAAGGTACATTGAACTCTGAGACAGGTAGGTACTCTGGAGTTGTTGTCAGACTGACTGGACTTTATG